CCCCCCTCTATGACATGGAAAATCTGAAAAAAGAGGTACTCTGATATGATTATATGTTTAGTTTTGATAGACATGTATTGCTAGAAGGAAAGTCGGGCAAAATTATTTTGTCATTGGCAAAGTGCAGCATTTTTTCTGTATCAAAGCAGAATGTCTCAACATCAAATACAATAAAGTAAAAACGTTTTCTTCAGCTTGTTTGCCTTTAAACTTCTGTATAAACTGACACATTTCCATAAAATGCACCAGTTCGGATGACTCATCTACTGATGGAAAAATTACCATCAAAAATAGTAATCTCACAAGAAAACCTTGATGTGCTTTGAATGGAGACATCATGATTTGGTCACCTGAGTGATAAAGACAGATTCTCAGCTTTGTGGACAACTTCTGTCTGCCAAAGAAGTTTTACAAAGTAAAGACAGTAAATACTGGAGATAAGTTCTACAGGATCTTTACCCCATCATGCCTATCTGCAAGAATCAGAATCCTGCTGAGACAGGACTCTTATCTGCCTGGCAAGGCAAGAGCTTGTTCAGAGAACAGAAAACAAAGGGATGGAGCTATAGGGACAAGGGGAGTAGAAAAGGGAGAGTACAAACAAGAAACAACCAGCTTAGGAGCTAAAAGCTGTAAATGGCAGCCTACCAAGGGGCCTGTTCATAAACCAGGCTTGGAAACACGTGCTCACAAAAAAACTAATATAATATGCATGCCTGTGTCTGAACATCACAGAGACAGGGCAATCAATACATGTTTGTGTCAGGTTTTATAAGTGCAGGCAGCTAGAATTTGGTCTTGTGACAGCTGCAGCAAATGCTTACCTAGAAAGGTCATCTTCAAGAAATCTGAAGTGACTTTCCCTTCACAGCAAGCAGAAATGTTTGAAAAGTCCTTTCACAGTTTTGACAAACACCCACTTTTTTGAAAGAATATATATATATATATATTTTTTCTATTTGGTTGGAAAATAAACAGCTTGCTTAAAGCCTGCTATAAGTTGAGTGGAACAAGAAACAAAGCAATACTTTTGAAGAGACAAAAATTCCTGTATTTTGAAATGTTTTGACAGCCAGATTTGACAGCTGAAGTGCAAGCAGAAACACACAGTAGGTTTGTGTTCAGTGAGCAAAACCACTGGGGGGGCTGCAACTGCTATCTACCAACTGCCCTTAGCAAGTGTCTTGACCCTTCTTCTCAGTAGTTGTCATGATTAAAAGCTAATAATCTTGCTGGTGTCCAGGTTCTGCCTGCAGTGCACTAAACAATTCTGCAGTTACATCAGTGTGAGTTGATAATAAGGTGTCCCAAGAAAAAGGAAAAAAAGGAAAAAGAAGCAATGCAGGTTCATTTTGGGCAGCTACTTAAATATTTTCTGTAACCTTCCATACTTGGTTTGTAAGCTTTCTTATCAGTATGATTTTTATGTGACATTGATTTCAGTTTAGCAGTCAATCACCATATGGAATTGAATAATCAAACACCTAAAGATGTTGAAATGAAACATCTTGACTCATTTAACTTTTTTTTTTTTTTTAGAAACAGACTATTTTTCTTCTTTTTAGAGACCTGAATATTTATTTATTTATTTTAAATGGAAAATGTGACCAAAACCAATTATTGGTTTATTCCACCTTCTTACACAGACATCAGCAAACTCACAGATTCCCAGCTAGTGGACAAAGAGGCAGAGTTCCATGGACAAAGCTCCATATAGGAGATGTTTGCTCTGATTTTTCTGTACTGTTCATCTGCACCAAGCAAGACCATAGAATGCATTCCTATTGTTCTGGTTTTGTAAAGGAAGAATAAGCGTGTTCCCACAGACAGGAGCAGGTATATCTCAGTCAGACAGTGTAAACCAGACTTGGTATTTTGGGAAGTTTTAGAGGTATCAGCGAGTGTGGCAATTCTCCTCTGTCCATGGTTCTGGGAGAAATCCCACGTAAAAATACTAATCTCTATGCCTTGCATTGATGAGAAAACATTGTTATTTCCAAGATTCGTTGCTGTTCAGTAAATACACTGTTAAATTGCATCACTGACAGGCTGATATTCATAAAGTATTCTGGACATAATATATTGTTATATGACATCAGAAACAAGATCCATGGGACATTGCTCATATCACTGTCATGGCTGGGCAAGCTGTTACTTCTCTTGTAGCAGAGCTCATGTATCTCAGATAAATCACATAACAGATCCTTATGAGTCCACCCATCCAGTTGGGTTTCTCAGCCAATTGAGGAAAGATTGTGTCAGAACCCCTCTGTTCAATTTCCAAGGTAAAAACCTTCTCCAGAAGCCTTTCTGAGATTATTTGATGCATATCTATAGACTACATTACCTCTTTTTAACCATGCCTTTTCTTCCCTTTGCGCCTGGTCCCTGTGTGGTGAAGAGGGTACAGGTGGGATATTTCCTGACTGATAAATCAGGATACCACCTGGGTAAGAGGCACCCAAATCAGGCTCACAAGCATTTGGGTTTTCATCTTGAAGGTACATCTTGTGAGAGTTGCTTGGAAGCTGGCACTTGGGGTAGGGAAGAGATGCTGAAGATGGGACTAGGAGTGTGGATTGTGGTTTGGTGATCCTGTGCCTTATTCTTCTGAAGAAGAGGGAGCTGTGAAGGAGTTGGTGTTGGTGTCATGGTTCACTGCCTCAAGTGTCTTGATTTTCTGTGGCAGCTGTATAATCTGGAAAAAGTGGGAGTAGTTTGGGGACAGACCATGGGTACATGATCTTTGGAGAGTCAGGTGGTTCTGGGGACAGAGCAGCAGCTCTAAACACGTCAATGAAAAGCTCAAGAACCTCTCAGGGTTTTCTCCTTGACGTGCCTGTTGTTTTGTCTGGTTTGTAAAAGTTCCCGTGGATGCCATCACTTTGTTCTTTGCACACAAGGGAGGACATTGACCATTACAAGGCTTGTAAGGAGCCTGTGGACAGGCAGGATGACATTTCTCAGCATCCTCACTTGACTGTGCTGACCCCTGGTTGCTACAAAAGTTCCTTGATGTAGCATGCTCCAGGATCCCCAAAGCAGCGAGGAGAAATCTGGTTTTAGGCAATTAGTTGTTTTAACTATTAGCCCACATTTATCTGATATTTGTGTTTGAGGGCATTTGAATTGTTCCTTCCCATACACCAGGATATAAAAGCAAGGTGTGCACCTGCAGGTTTAGTAGTGTGGGGTGGGCACACTGTCCTCCTCTCCAAGAGGACTCACATGATGAAGGAAGAATGTGAAGTGCTGTATGACAGACACAACCTAAAAGCTCTGCTCAAAATATATGCACATTTGGGGAGGCAACACAGACCTGGAAATATTGTGTTAATTGCACAGGAACCTGGGCACACAACTCCATCAGACTCCCAGATTAATTTATTGGGCACAGCCACCTATGCTGAGCCACTGCTATGGTATGTATGGAAAAAGAGAGCATCAAAAAGATACCAGTATGTCTTTTGGACTGGAAATACTAAGGGTGAGTTAAGGCTTAAAACAAGAGGGTTCCCCATCCCCTTTTGGTATTAATTCTTCCTATATGAAATTTGTTAGTAAAAGTGCAGCATGTGCTTACCCCGCTGAGCTTCCTAGGCTGATACTAGCATCTGTTGGAAAACTGGCTGTCTAGGACCAATCTGAATTAGAGTAGAATAGAATTGAAATTAATTAGAATAGCTCTGTTGAAAGGGACCTACAATGATTATTTAGTCCTACTGCCTGACCACTTCAGGCTGACCAAAAGTTAAAGCATGTTATTAAGGGCATTGGCCAATTGCTTCTTAAGTGCTGACAGGCATAGGGCACTGAGGCAGACCCAGGTGGGTAGACAAGTGTCTGAGCGTAGAAGCCTGCCATCCTGCATCTGCAACTGGCACCCGAGAGCTTTGCACGCTGCGGAGCCCCTGTGGCTTGCACCGCTGCCCCAAGAGGGATTGGTTTGCCGGGCATGGACCTACATGTCCTTCCTCCCGGCGCCAGGTGCGGTTCCGCCACCCTCCCTGATCTTCAGACGAGGTCGCCCAACGGGCCTTGCCAGCGCCTCCTCAGGATGCCGGCGCCGCTGCTCCCCCGCCCGCGGGCTCTCATTCTGCCAGCAGCATTCCACCGCCCCTTTTCTCCACCTTTCAGCCCTGTATCTGTTGTTTTGGGGGTTGCTGTCCCATCTCTCCTGCTGGCGACAGGTCAGATCAGCAGCAGAATTGCGCGTCCCCTCCCCACCCAGCCTCAAGTCGGCTGTTGGCATGCCTAAAAGTGGATGTCGGAGCCATGAGTGAGTGTTGCTCTGTTTTGCCACGTAGCGTTCGCACCGCACGCAGCTTCTTCCTCCTCGCCTTCAGATGCCGTCCCGAACCCGGGCTGGATAACGGATGTCCTTCACACGTGTCCTTCAACCGGCAACGGGAGGGGACTTTCCCCTTCCACCCCACCCCACCCCGCCCGCTTCCTTCTGGGCTGCAAACACCGCTGGGTGAGAGAACAGAACCAAGCAGCCGCCTTCCCCGGCCACAGTAAAATCCGAGCCGAAGGAGGGAGGAGAAGGGTCTGCTCCCTCCTTATCTCTTTACTTGCCTCCCCAAATCCTTCCCAGACCTAGGAGATGAGAGGGGATCTTCGGGGAGAAACAAGAACAGAGGGCGCGGATCGTTCTCCCACCCTGCCCATTTTCCAGGAAGCCGTATTTGCAGAGACTTCTCCAGGCACACACACACATTGACTCCTGAGGAGATCTAAGAAAGCAATTTCAAAATGCAACAGCGGGCTGACAGACAACCTTCCCTCCTGTCCCCACGGCAAAGCGCAAGGACACCCGAATGCTGCAAACAGCCAGGGATGGGGTGGGGTACATGCATGCAAATACACACACCCCTCCGAGGGATTAGGAATCGCTTGGGGTCTCTTCCGCGGCGAGCATGGAGGGGCGAGGGCAGTCCAAGGAAGAGGCGGGGTAGCCGGAGTCAGGGGGGTGGGAGGGAGCCCAGCTCCCGCAACGAGGGGAGGAGGAAAGAGGACCGTGTCGGTGGGATGGTCCGGAAATCCTGTGATAAAGAGAGGGGCACAGAGGAAAAGTAGGAAGAAGCTCTGGACTCATTCACTTTCCCCGCCCACCCTACACCGGCAACTTCACCGGCAGCCCTCAGGCACATGCTCGCTGACCGGAGCCTTTAGGAGCGGGGCGGAAAGGAGAGGAGCCGCTGCCGCAGCCACCTGCCTCCGGTCCGGCACAGCGCAGGTCAGCTCAGCTCAGCGCCCGCCGCCGAGCTAGGTATCGGGGGCGGGCGGGCCGTGACAGCCGGCGTGCAGAAGGGCAGAGAGGAGAGGCAGGGTGTGGGCACGCAGGGCTGGGGGAAGCCCTCGTACTCCCAGGTCCTGGCGGCCCGCGCAGACCCACGGCATGGCGGTGACCCGGTACCGGAGCTGGTGCCGGGTGGGGGGTGGCAGCCTGTCCCGGAGCCGAGCTCCCTGCTCCTCGCGGCCGGAGCCAGCAGAGGGAGGCAGCACCCTCCGCCGCTGGGCTGCTGGGCTGCACCTGGGGCCGGCCGGTCTCAACCTTGAGCCGTCCCGGCCCATCCTCAGGAGGTGCAGCCTTCGCTGGCATGGCTTTCTGGGTCAGGTTTCTGAGGGGCTAGGGTGGGGGAGCCTGCCCCGCATCAGTGGTCTCCATCCCTCTGCCCGGGCTGTATCCCCACCCAAGTCGCCCAGCTTCCCCTGCCTGCCCTCCTGGGCACATGTGAAGCGCTTCACCTTGAAATGCCCCCTCGGTGGTTCCCTGCTCAGCTGCCGCTCCGGAGCTAGCTCTCCAAAATCCGAGAGGGCGAGAGACAGGTGGGAAAACGAGAAAGTTCAAGGGTTTAATGCCTTCCTGCTTGTCTGCAGGAGGCAAGCTGGGAGAACTGCACTGCTCCTTCAGACTCACTGCTGGCCACCTGACCTGCCTTGGGGAACCACTGTGTCCCCTTACTTCCTCCTGCCACCCGTTCCTTGCCTGTCAGCATACAGGTCTTGCCTTGCCCAGGTGCTTTGCCTTGCAAAGCCAAGGTCTACAGGAATTTGGGGTTGGAGACTTGCCTGCACTCAGTCAAGGGGAGGAAGGCTGTGGGGAGAGAGCTGAGAAAGACAAAGCATCGGCCTTTTCTCCTCCTAGAGACACCAATCCTCTTCTGATTGTGCCTCTTTGCAGGCTGCCTTCTAAGGTTTCCTGGTCTCTGTGCATGTGAGGTGTGAAGGTGGGCAGCACCCCAAAGCCATCACCATGGATTTTGTTATGAAACAAGCTCTAGGAGGTAAGTGTGGTCGGCACGTGAGGGGCCTTGCATCCCTCCCTTCCCTTCATTTTGCACCTAGTAAAAGAGAGGATGGTCTGCTCTGAGCCTCTGGTAGGATCTGAAGCTGGAAGAGCTATTTTGGGACCTGGAAGAGCATGCTGGTTACAGATCCATGATCCCAGAGCCAAGTGTTTGAAGAATCTGACCAGGAGGGGGGCAGCAACAAGCAGAGACCAAAGCCCCATGTCTGGGAGAGACCTGCCACACAAGGTGTGCAGGCGCTGGGTCGTGCCTAATCTGGCACCCTACCACCTGGCTGCATATCTTGCTGTATGATGTGCAGGTCTTGCTTTGCCTCATGACATGCCACTGAGGCAGGTATTACAAAGCCTGCAGACAGCTTTAAACAGAGTAAACCCAAAGAATAGCATTTTGTATATGTGTATGAGCCTCCTTTTCATCCTACCTCCAAACATTGACCAGACCTTGACAAAAAAATGGCCAGTGAAGAACCTGATACTATAGAGTTATTTTTAATAAGACTATGGCTGCAATAAGCAGGGAAACACTATTAAAGTATCCCCTCACACCCTACCTGGATTTGAGGCCGACCTGTTATATTGCTTCAATATATTTCTGTCCATGTGTGATGAGTTGTTTTAACCTAATAGTGGGAAATAATAAAAGCAGTGGTGCGAGATGGGGGGGAGAAATTAAAAACAATGCAGAAGTATTTGGGAATGAGATTCCTTAATTCTGTCACAGTTATGCTGCCTTGGGTTGCTTGGCCTGAACATTCAATCAAAACAAGTCTGTCACTGAGATGATGCTGACTGCTGTTGGAAACTGAAATAGTTGGCCTCAGAGGAAGTTGATGAGGTGGTTCTGATCATTCTTGTTTGTACTGTGTCTTGTGTGCGTTTTCCATTCCATTCTTTGAAGAAACTGTAGAGTCATGGGATTGTGGGAATGTTTCATGCATGCTATTGATGTCATATGCAGCTTTAATATTTACCGGAGGACTCTTTCCCATGGCATGGAAACATGATTTTCATCTTTGAAAGCAGAGGATCTGTTTGTTTTTTTTTTCACCAAGGGAGCAAAATTCTCCCAGTTAAGAGTAGAGCAAGCAACTCAAATTTTAGGTGGGGTATTTTGAATGGGAAGATCAAACCGTAGAAGAAAGGGTCTAATTTGATTGCACAAAATAGCAAGATACAAAGATATCTATGTGAGAAGATAACATTTTTTTTATGGTAGCACTGTTACATTTCATTACTCTTCAGTGCCTGTTGTGAAGGAGAAATAGTTTTGAGAAGAGCAGATTTTGCACTGTTTGCTATGGTGTGAATAAAGTTGCTTGCACAGAAATGAACAAGTGTACCTGCAAACTGGAGATCTAGCCACTGCAGCTAGAGATTCGTGAATCCACTAAAGGGAAATAACTGCATAAAGACTGCAGTTAAAGTCAGGGGGAGGAGGGTTGCAGCAAAGGAGTAACAGCTGAGATGCATGCCTTTTGTTGCAGTTTAACCTGAGTTGGAAGCAGCATCTGCCTGGGCTTAACAGCACTTACTCTGGGCAGACATTCACTTTAATGTCATGTTGCTTGCCAGGGTCAGGATTTGCATTATAACAGGAGGTGCTGAGAAGGCAAATTAAAAAAACATCTTTTGGTGAAGCCTTAGTTTCTGATATCTGTCAAGATGCTGCCCAGGGCACCAGCTTGTCTGCCAGATGACTTAATGTATTAGCAAAATGTGCCTCGAATTTGCCCACTTACTGAACAAAGGAGAAGTCTCTGCAGAATGGTAAAATCCAGGAAATGTTAATTCATTAAGCAGAGAACAATTTTTAAATTAGAAATAATTTCAAACAATTTAAATTAGAAATAATTTTCCTGATGGACAGGGCTTTTCAGGGCTCCGAAGCATATGAGAACTCTGAGACCAGATTTCATCATACTGGAGTGATCAGAGGAGGTACTGGAAGGAAAACACCATTGGTCTCCCACCTCCTCACTCACCTTATTGAGGAAGAGGAGGACTCACACTCTTCTTAATGAACAATAAACAGCCTTAGCAGAACACTCCTGTGGGAGTTCTCCCATTGCCTTTAAAGCAATCTTTGAAGACATTTCATTTGACTCTAATGGCACAGGACAGTCAGATTTGTTTTTCCCTGGAGTTTGGTGAGTCAGAAGGGAAGAAGGCAACAAGGTTTTCTGAAAGGTATGTGAGCTAAGTTAGCAAGCAATGAAAGGCAGTTACGTAGAGTTGCTTTGCTCAGAAGCTTGTGTGACTAGAGGATTTAGGTTTTGTGAAATCAATTTTGCAGGTTATTGTATTGATGAAGTAGAAAGTGTTCTTTCTCTGACTTGTTGTTAAAGGAAGTCTGCAGAAGCCTGCTGTTTCTGTGCAATGAAAAGCTCTGTGTGCTGCCAGCACTGGGATTTTCTCCTAGTGTTGGCAGCAGAGTGTTTTCCTGGTGGTTGACAAGACTGAAATGTGTCTTTGCAAATCCCAAGTCTCTTCAAGGTAAAATTCTTGATGCTTTTATTAGCAGTGGGGACTGTGGTCCAGGAAAAGCAGTACAAAATATTAGCTTATTTGGCCAATTTGCTTCTGTGACTTTTTGTGCTCCTCAGACCTTTCAGCACCCTGTGTGAAAGTTAATCCATTTATTGTGTGACAGTGACTGAAGCTATAGAGGTGAAACACAGTCATCATGCTGATTAGCTGTGTAGAACTACAAGGAGAAGATAGCAAGAGGAAACCTAGAGGCTTAAAACTGCTGCTGCTTATTCTACAGAAGTGACAGCAAAGCGATATTTTGTACCTCTGACCCTGCCACACCACCAGACATTGACATAGGTATGTAGCCAGGGTAATTGGTCATTTTGCTGTTCTTGTGACAGTTCACTAAATGAAGACAACTGGAGTGATTTCATGATTATATTTTACATTAGGAGTGCTCTTTATTAAGACAGGTCAGAGCTCTGGAGCACTGTTGTCAAGACCAGGGCATATGGCTTCCAGGAAAAAGCTCTAAGTGAAGGACCTGAAATGGTCCCTGGAGGAAGTTAGCTAGTGTTTTTCACTAGGCATTGTTTATTTCTTCATAGGTTTGTGTGAAAGCAAAGGATGCATTAACATCTGACTCCCATGTCATACTACACTGTCTCACTTCCTCTGTCACTGGTGGCTTGGGCAAATAAGGAAACTGAAGAAGACAAACTTCATGAAGCTCTGATGGCTGTCACCGTGTTACTGAGAGACTTGAGGGCCAAGGGTCTTAGGCATTTTCATATGGAAGAAGAGATGGGGAAAGCCCATGGGAAGGTGAGGAGGATTTGTCTGAGGCGGGATCATGATGTGGTTGAAGAGCAAGAGATTTCTTACAGCAGAAACTACCATTGTGCAGACCAGAATACTGTGAAGATAGGATATACAGAACACACAGTGACTCTAACTTGGTATTATATGGTGTTGTGCAGGGCCTTTTTAATGTGCTTCTTTTCTTTCCACAGATAGGAGAAATGTCTAGCTGGGATGCCTGCCTTAAATAGTGACTTTTCCTAATCTCAGCCTGAGGATAAATTGTGTAACTAATTTCATATATAATGATGCATATAAGCAGTACTGTTTACATTTCTTCTTCGTGCTACAGGTCCCCCTTGAATTCATTATGCAATGCAAGCCCCATCAGGAGGAAGAGTGCATTTCAGATTCTGGATAGATACTCACTGAGCTATTACTAAAAGCATGATTTTCTATTTTATTGGCAGCAACATAGAATGAGGACTGCTGCATGGCATTCACTTCTTTAACTGTCAGGATTCTGTGGAGACTTGTTTTGGTTCATAAGGATTCTTAAAATAATGCAGGCAGAAGTTACAAATGCAACCAGATTGCCACCTGGAATATGTCAGCAGGAGGTCACTGCCTACTTCATGTCCCTTACTGGCAGCTTTGGTATATTACAAAACACAGTCCAGAGGGAATCCTCTTGGTCTAGAAGGTAGGCAGAGACATAAACCTTCCTGAAGATAATAGGATTTAAGTCACAGTCCATAAGCTCTGAAAGAGTAGCCCCTGTGTTAATTTACATTAGTGAAGATGTGAATGTGTGTGAATGCTATTTAAGCCTGAATGGACATGGGCTTGTGTTTAACAACAATTTAGGAGCAACATTCTGTGTGTATATTTTGCTGCTCATTTGACTCACTTTACTTGCTTGTGATGTGGGGAATAAGTCCTTGATTTTTCGCTGGAGAAGTCAGTGAGATTGAGTGCAGTGAGAGACAATACAGACCTATCTAGGGTGCAATAGACAGTGGTTTCTCCCTTTTCCTCTTCCAACTCAGCTTCTTGTTAATCACATTTGCAGTTCCCTTCTGAGCCTCTTTCCCACTCTGGGGCCTCATGCCTCAGCTAGACTGTGCTCAACTGCTTCTGTTAATGTATGAAGTTCTGGAGCAGGACAGAAACTGTAATGCAGAACTGCAAGTTGTAGTGCAAACAAATAGTGCTGGTATGTTCTTCTGGGACCTCTTTTTCCTTGTAATCTTTGAAACTTGTGACACATGAGGTCTTGCATTTTGCAGTCAGGTGCTTCCAAATCACAAAGACTGGAGAATCTGAGATAAGACAGGAGATCTCCAGACCATGGTAGCATGTGGTAGATCTCGGGGGCCCATGTACTTTTGTTCTGAGAACTTCTGCACATACTGTGTGCAATTCTGGGTCCCACAATTTAAGAACAATGTTAAGGTACTTGTTGCCCTTCTCTGGACGCATTCAAAGCTGGTGAGAGGGCTGGAAGGCATGTCCTGTGACGAGTGGGTAAGGACTCTGTCTAGTTTGGAAGAGGCTGAGGGGCGACCTCATTGCTCTCTACATCTTCTTGAGAAAGGAAAGTGGAGAGGATGGTGCTGATCTTTTCTACCTGGGATCCAGTGACAGGATGTGTGGGAACGATTCAAAGCTGTGTCAGGGGAGGTTCAGACTTGACATTAG